ACAAAACAAAGCTCAAAAAGTGCGCGAATCCAGCAGCTTTCTTCTTCTTTATTATCGTTCGTCACCCGTCGATTTCGAATTGTTGCTCCCCATCGCCCATAGAAATTCCAACGGTCTGTTCAGCGTTAACGCTGGAGAAGTCGACGAAACAACGAAAAATCTCTGAAGAACCGGCAAAGCCAAACACGTGTCGGACACGTGTCTATGACGCACTCGCATATATGAACATCGCAGTTTCAGACATCTTTTTGCGAACGTTTCCGGAAAGGGAAAGTATAATCGCGTGGACTCGATCGGACTCGTCGATAAACTAGAGCAAGTTACCAGTTAAGTTAACTTCCTGGCGGCCAGGAATCTGGGGAAAGCAGCTCGGTTAAAATTAAGAAGCTGGAAATAAAAGAATTCGGCTAAGAGTTAAGCTAGCCAGCTACTTCGGGATTCTTCCCCAGGGGATTATACAATGAAATATATTTTCCTGGTATTTCGTATCGCGCAAACCGGTCGACTCGGTATCCTTGCTAAATATAAGCTCGCTTTCTGCGCATCGATTCGTGCCACGTTAGCGCACGCTTTTCTTCCATTCCCAATGAAATTTCGTTTCGCTTCGGAGCTTAGCTCGGGATCGTTGTGCCATCCTTTGAGAAAAAATAAAAAAATAGAAAAATAAAAATTCCTCAAAGTTCGGTATTTCGTCGTACTGTACAAGGGAGAATTGAATACGACAACAGGATACGAGCATCGAGATCGATACGATATATTTGAAACGATTGTATGGAAGACGGAAAACGTAGCAAAGAAAGAGAGAAAGATTGGAAAAGTCTAGTACGATCTCCACATCGAAGATTGCAAATGTTTATGGGGAATAAATATTTTCTATAAAGTAGCTCTGATATCAGTAGACGAAGAAAAATAATTAAATTTTTTCGTTTCTTCGTTTCTCGAAAAATTTCTCAAGTACACATATCCGATTTCGATTAATTGTGGACTCGACAGAAATCAGAACGATCGGTAGAAAACAGGCGAAACATGTAGAATAAAATACTTCTGTCCAAGGCTTCTTCGTTTTCAAGAAAATAGAGTTTGAATATTTAGTTAAAAATCGGCTTATGAATTTAGTTTCTTCGAAATGGAAAAGATCATATTCTCGCGGATAGGACAACCTTCTGTTTGTTATTTATTCCTGGTCAGACCAAACTCGGTTAAATTGATAAGCCTGACTTTCTCGAAAACGGAGAGTCTTGAATTAAAAATTTTACTCTTTCCTCTCGACTTGTTATTTACTCGAGTTGGATTAAGAATTGGTTAAATTCAACGTATACTCGATGAATCGTCAAACTGGCGTTTCTTCTCAGAAACCGAGACACGCCTGGTGAAATGAAAAATAGTTATTCTCTCCCTTCGACTTATATTTGCCCGTCGAGTCACTGCCTGGCCGATCGTGTCGCGACAACAGGTACACCCTGTACATTCGAGAAATTCAACTTTAAAAGAAGACAACTTGTATCGACCTCCGACATCGGGGACGCGAAGCTATCTTCCAGAACAAACATCGTGCTTATTTAAAGCAGCCGTTTTACTCGTCGAGCACCAGGCGGTTAACGTATCCTACTTTACGATAAAAGCTCCTCGATTTCACTTCGCGTCGCGTCGTGCCGTTTCATTCCCAGCTTCATCGCGTTCATCTTCGGCAAAAAGTCGGCGGTCGTTTTCTCAAACTTGTGCAGCGACTCGATCGAAAGTCAAAACATCGCACAAAATCGCGTTGAAATACGAGTTGGAAGGATTTCCACCAAATTTCTTTAGCAATCTCTCTGAGCGCAGTCTTGCATTTCTCCTGAAATTCACCTTCGCAGAAGACGTAGCTTCGCGGAGAGTTCATCCGGTTTCGGATTGATGATCATCCGGTCCCCCGTTGCAACAAATCGCGGATGAACGTATGAACGCAAGTACTTACGTATGCACGCACTCACGATACGAAGCAACGAACTGCCTTTACTCCAAGAATAGTACTACTCCGCGACGACGTACATAGACGTACATAGACGTATATACACTGAGAAACGGATAAAATGTGTATACGATTTTTAGTATTTAATAGAAGGCGGAGGAACGAAAGAAAGCGATATCTTTAGGCGATTCATTCGAGGGAAACATTGCTCCTTCTTGATAAGCTTTTGATAATTCAACAGGTTGATGAAACGTCTGCTATATAATTTATTTGCAGCTACTTTTCTCCATTTACTACTTTTGCTCTTCTTCTACTTTTCTTCGTCGTCATTGCAAGTACACTTTGACCGTTTCATTATTAAAAATGACACAGAAGTGATAAAAAAAAAAAAGAACATTTGCAAAGCGTATGAAGAATAAACGAGGATAATTTGCCGCCATAAATCATTGAAAATAGAGAACTTGGATTAAAGTTACGATACAGTGGAATTTATTTAGAACAAAAACGCACGAATTTTCCGCTCGATACCAGATACGATTGTCGAAAATATTTTTCGAAGCTTGTTCGACTATTTTCTGGTTTGATTTTTTTCTATAAAAAAAAAAAAAAAAAAAAAAAAAAAACAGCGAGTTAAATCCTTGATCGTAACGCGTGATTATGCGACGCAACAATTCGAGACACAGCGTGTGCGATATTTATATATCCTAACTGACCTGTTTCCGACAGGTTTTTATTTCGCGAGCGATCCGATATACCGATATCACCGACGATTGTTCTGTACAGAACAAGAATCCTGCAAAAATGTGTCGGAGTGAAAGAATAAAATAAAACTTCTTCGTCATTCTTCAATTTAGAGCATACAGAGAGAATTAAATATTGAGGAAAGATAAAGAAGTATAGAGCATAACTTCTTCACACAACTTTGATTGCTTCGTTTTCGAAGGAATTAAATTTGTAAATTAATACTATTTTCTGAAGAATGAAAATTTTTATTCTAGATTAATTTTCGCTAGATTAGTCTGGCGGATAAAGTAACTCTCTTGCCGTTCGTTGTTCATGTTCGACTCCAACTGATAAATTCCAACAAAATTTTCTCAAGAAACAAATCTTCCTGTTCGTGCGTGTGTAATATAATCATATTGCGGCAGTGGTTATACTCATAATTTAGCGGAACGGTTAAGTAGCCAATAATCGCAGAGGCTTGGTTCGTTATTTGCAGGATGCAGCCTCGCCGCGATACGTGACAGCAGAACGACTGAGGCAGTTCTCGGACCCTCTGGCGAGGTTTCAACCCATCAACGGTGAGTGAGATTCTATCCACGAAACGGTAATTTTCGTTCGTGTCGCTACGCTGAAGCGCGTGGAAAGACGCGCAGGAAGGAGCGACTATTAGGGAGCGTAGTGCGCGACCGATCGACACGACACGAGCAAAGCTTCTCTAGTTTACTCGATTCCAAAACGGTAGGGATACTGGGGCGCGCGATATACCCGCGTATTTTTAAGCAGATTAATGCTTGACACGAGACGGAGCATTAAGCAGATCGGTATTAATGAGTTTTGTCACCCTTGAGTGACACTCCGTTTCTATTCCGTTACACTCGCTGCTATAGATAGCCCACCCGTGAGTTTCCGAGGACGAATGCAACGTCCTCCCATCTCGATACAGTCGACTGCTCGCGTTACCCGCGCGACACAGTCTACCAGCCACGCGCCACGCGTCC